CTATATTCACAATTCCTAACACATATCTATTCCAATAATCACATCATTGCTGGCAAGGCTATCAAACCCACACAGGCATGCAATGAACCAAATACAGCATATTAATGCAATGGTCACTCGTCAAGCACACAATGTTCAACCAGTGTCAAAGAATTGATAAATTGTGATCGTTTCAAAAAAAAAAAAAACTTACATTACATGCCGATAATTGTATTTTCAAAAGGGTCACGTTCAAAATATGCCACCCCAAACTTATACATTACATTGCCTTCAATGTGAAAAATAAATGTTTCGAAAGACATATTTTGAAGACAAGTGCAAATTAGAGTTAGCAAATGAGTGAAATAAAACTCCCTTGATCACTGTGGTGGTGGCGATGCCTGGTAGCTAGGTCCTGCGGTTTCGTTGCCCAATGGATGTGAGAAATGAACCAAAATCTGCCCTTATAGACCCGACTGCTAGACTTGCTCTGCCTGCATGACTTTCATCATGCTACTCTATGCTCTAACTTTGCCCTCCATGCGATGCAGTCGGTCCCCTAGTGTCGTTCACTCTTATTTGTATTCCATCCACTCTTCTCACATATATGCTCAGCCGCTCGTTCATGGTTTCCATTTTCCTCCTTGCTGATTGGGCCTCCTGATATGCAAACTGTGCCATGTTTTGAATAGCATTGATATCACGTCGGGCTGTTTGCATGTCAGTCGTCAAAGTCCCTAGAGCTTGCTGGATTCCCTCTATATCGCAGCTGGTTCTTGTGAGAGTTGTAAACATTTGACATAGTACCTGTGTATCAGCTCCCATCTGTGGTAGTGGTGGCACCGCCTGGGCATCTCAGCATCATCGTGTCCCTGGCCCTGTGTAGCCTGCTACTATCTTCTTCACTCTCTCTTGTTCATCTCGATGTCTTATCTGAGCTTGTTCCTGAGCCTCAAATGTAGTACGCTTTATTAGAGGGCTAGGTTTTTTTGGTACCTGCAGCTCGGCATATGCCGTTGATGAGGCTGGGAAAGACCAAAGTGGTACGCCGATCCGGCCAGGTGCCCAATGTCTGGATTTGATTGTAGATAAGGGTGGTGAGGTCTATTTTACAACCCCAAACCAGATGATAAATGAACCCTGCTATTTGATCAGAAAATGTGGTTATGTGTGATGTGGGCTCGATGTTGTGGCACATGAAGAGCCATAGAATGGCTATGGATGGTGCGAGTTCTATTTGATACCACTCAGCAGTCGCTAGGGGCCATGCATGTTACCTTCCCAACAAAACCTCAGCTACTTCAAGCCAGTTGAATTCGGTGGGGATGGGTGATAAGTGTATTTTATACACTTATTTGGCGCATTAAAATAGCAATATTTGGTAGCTCTTTCAACAAATTATATCCTAAATTGTTTGATTTTATGTTAAATAGGTAATTCTATAAATGAAAAGGGAATCAAAGGAAGGAAGCAACAAAAAAAAAAAAAAAAATAAACAAAAAAAAAAAAAAAAGTTGGAAAGAGTTTAAAACAGTATATTTTTCTTGCATATAAGAGTAAGGTTTTAGATGAATTATTTCAATACCATATCAAAGTGAGCAAATATTTCTAACTTTGAGTCTCGTCGATACTCATTCATAAAAAAATGTGCGCATGATAAGTCTTTCATGGAAAAATAGTACTTGTTTTTGAAGATAATTTAAATAAAAAAAAAAAAAATCAACAAAGAAATGACAAATTCCAAAACACGAGGACTAAATTGGCTATTGGATGCAAAGTTTGGAGATCAAATTTTATAGTTTGGAAACTGAAGGACTTGAAGAAAATAAAGGATTCAATGGGCTTAATTTGTGGACTTTTGTTTTGATCCAAATTAAAAAAAAAAAAGTGGGGTTTCCAACATGAATATATATACATAGAAGACGACTGCTTTCTGCAGAGATTGCTGAAAGAGATACATACACCTACAGAAACACTTTCGGCAGTGAGAGGAAAAAGTTAGAAAAGTGGGCTGCAATATTATATTTTAACACATACGCACGAAGAGAGACGAAGGCGGGGATACGCACAGGAGAAAAGAGGAGGCTGCTACCTTATACATTAATATATCTCATGCGTGGAAATAAAGGACAGAACACGTAGAAGAGAAGAAGCATAGCAGTCAAGACACACGCAGGCAGAGAAAGAAAAAAAAGGTGTTAGAATTAGAGACCAAAAAAAAAATATATTATACACACACAGAATCTGCCGAAAATAGAACGAGCTGCTTGCCGGAAATGGAACGAGCTGCCTGCTGGAATTTTATAAGCACCAGAAATGCAGCCAACCTGGTGGAATCAAACACACACTGGGCAGTTGTTTTGGGGAAAGAAAACACAGAAACCTATTGAGATTTTAAGGCAGAAAATAGGGCTGATTTTGAAGGAAAAAAGGCAGATTTCAATTTGTCAACGTTAACCAAGTTCCGTCAAAGTTTGGTGATGTCTTTTAACTTTTGCGTGTTTAATTTTGACAATTTGCTTGTCTAATTTTTTTATATTGTTAGGATATGATGAACCCTTGTTACGAATTTTTGGGTTAAATAATTAAATTGACGTTAAATTTGTTTGAATTCTTGGATGTTTATTATGATTTAACTTGCTTTTCAATTAGTTGGTTATTAATTAAATTGTTTGTGAATTTTATCATATCATCATCGAGAGAGGTAATAAAATTGTTAGCATATATTAATAAATATTGTGACGTTCGATAAATGATAGAAATATACCTTTATGCTTCACATGGTTGTTAAAGATGTTATAGCTCGTTTAATGCATTTATCATGTTCGCATCTTCCATCGAGAGATAGGAAGGTTACATGAGGGGAATAAATTTGATAACTATCGAGAGAGGTTTTCAGTTAAAATAGGAACATTGACCAACAATCATGATTTCAAATTGTCAATTTAAATTTTGAACTAAAAATTGAGTAGCGAGGGGGATTCCACATCTTAGCAATACTTCTCGCGAATTTGATAAATTCACTTTGCTTTCAATTTAGTTGCTAGATTTTTGCTAGATTTAATATTATTTAGTCACAACTTGCTTTTACTATTTGATTAACGGTATTATTAATTTTAACTGGATCAAACACATAGTCATCGTGGGTTCGAAACTCTACACACTATTATATTACTGGTTCACGATCCCGTCCACTTGCGGGTAATCAATCGAACAAGTTTTTGACACCGTTGCCGGGGACTATAATTTTTGACTAGTTTTAGTTAATTTTAACTTTAATCTGAATTTTTTTTTTATATTTTTAGTTTATTTCATTAATTTAGAAAATTTTTACAGTGCTTCTTGCTTTTTTTTTTGGACTTTATGTGTGAAGTTAAGAACTGGTGATCTTGTTCAATTTGACCCAGAAATCGAACGAACATTCAAATTTCGAAGAAGATAGCAACTTAAAACACACCAAAAATAGAAAGAGGAAGACATGGCAAACGAAAATCCGAATCAAATAGCCATCGGGGCTAATATAGGAGTAGCACAACCGAATATCACTGCAACCAATGAAAATGCAAGGCTCATGGGAGAGTATATGGTTCTATCAGTGGTGGAAAGCCAATCCAGTATCGTATATCAGAACTTTCACCTGAGAATAGATGTCATCAACATGTTCCAAAATGCGCTACAATTTTTTGGAATAGCTATAGAGAATCCTAACGCTCATATATCAAGATTTCTAGACGTGTGCAACAACTGAATATCCGAAAATTTCAAGCGAAACAATTAGACTAAGACTTTTCCCATACACATTGAGGGATTCATCAAGGGACTGGTTAGACACTTGCCCACTCCAGAGCATCACAACATGGAACCAATTGAGTCAGAAATTTCTCAGTAAATATTTCCCATCGAAAAGGATTGCAAAGTTAAGGGACGAGATCACTACTTTTCAGCAAATGGACTCAGAATGCTATTCAGAGGCTTGGGAACAATACAAGGGTTTACTTCGCCAGTGTCCGCAACACGGGTTGCAGAAATGGCTTCAAGTGCAATACTTCTACATTGGTTTGAACTCGATTAGCAGGGCTAACGTAGACTCTGCGTATGATGGTTCTATCACAAAAAGAACTGCGGACCCGGTCTACCAAATCATGGAGGATTTGGCATTTACCAATGCACTTTGGCCTACTGAAAGAATGAGTGGAAAGAAAGCTGCTGGGGTATTCAAAGTTGATTTTTTAACAACATTTTCGGCACAATTGGCATCATTGGCACAAAAGGTAGATCAAATGAATATAGCCCAGACAATGGGATCGAAATGCAAACATTATGGAGGGAACTACGAGAGTGTTGATTGTAACGTAGGATCTCCTTTTCTTCAGACGGTGAAAGACGTGAACTACATTCAGAATTTTCAAAGACAACAACACAATCCAAATCCTAACACATATTACCCAAGATGGAGAAATTACCCAGGTTTTCAATGGAGTAATATGCAGGGAGCTCAGATCGCGCCACAATAGACCGTACCACCCGAATTTCAGCAGAATGAGAAGAAGTCTTCGCTAGAAGATTTTATGACTAAGTTAGCATAAATATCCACTTAACACATCCAGAGAACGGATAAGAGCTTGCAAGTTCAGGGTACTGCCATAAAAAATTTGGATAATCAAATGGGACAAATAGCCCAGGCACTTTCAGAGAAACTACTAGGAACATTACCTAGTGACACAGAAACAAACCCTAAGGAGCATTGCAAGGCTATAATTACTCGTAGCAGGGTACAACTACCTGAAATAAATGTGAAAAGGCCAGTTGCTACACAAGAGAAGGTACCTACTAGAGTTGAGGAGCATTGGGAAGAATCTACACCAAACAAAGAACAAGAAGAAATACCAGAGGATCCAAAGGTTAAGGAACCCGCTCCTACCAAAGAAATGGTTCAACCACTCCCATTTCCAAATAGGCTACAGAAGCATAAGCTGGACAAGCAATTTTCGAAGTTTCTTGAGGTCTTCAAAAAGCTGTAGATGAATATACCATTTGTGGATGTATTTGCACAAATGCCTAGCTATGCAAAATTTATGAAAAAAATACTCACAAATAAGAAGAAGTTGGAGGATTTGGGGACATTGATGCTGAATGAAGAATGCAGTGCCATCTTACAGAATGAAGTGCCACCTAAACTAAAGGACCCAGTGAGTTTTACTATCTCTTGCACTATTGGTAACATGAAATTTGATAAAGTTCTCTGTGATTTAGGTGCTAGTATTAAGCTCATGCCTTATTCTATTTTTAGAAAATTGAACTTGGGAGAGGTGAAGGCAACATCGATCTCATTGCAGTTGGCAGATAGGTCCATAAAATTTCTCATGGGAATTATTGAAGACATATTGGTCAAGGTCAATAAATTTATTTATCCTGCGAATTTCGTCATTCTAGATATGACTGAAGAGGATAAAGACGTGCCATTGATATTGGGAAGACCATTCCTTGCAACGTGTCGAGCATTAATAGATGTTCAAAAAGGACAATTGATGCTGTGATTAAATGATGAGTAGGTTACATTCAATGTTTTCAGTGCTATTAAGTATCCTATAGAATCAGATAGTTGTCTGCGCATTGATATGGTGGATTTGACTGTGGAAGAGACTTTCATTCTTGAGCATCCTCAAGACCACTTGGAGAATCTTCTTGTGTACTCACGAGATAAAACGTCAACGATTGAAGAAGTAAGTCAGATTGCATACATTATGAAATCGGCTCCACCCATCAGGAGAATACAGTTTGAGGAACTTGGTTCAGGACCAAGTAAACCACTGCCTTCTGTTCAGAAAGTACCAATTCTTGAGCTCAAGCAATTGCCATCACATCTGAGGTATGCATATTTAGGAGAGTCGTCTACACTCGCTGTGATTATTGCAAACGAGATGACAGAGTTGGAAGAGCAGAGATTACTAAGGGTCTTGACGGAATACAAAATAGCCATTGGGTGGTCTATAGCAAACATAAGAGGAATTAGTCCATCGATATGCATGCACAAAATCTTGATGGAAGAAGAGTATAAGCCAATAGTGGAAAATTAGCGCAGATTGAACCCCACCATGAAGGACGTTGTGCGAGCAAAGATATTGAAACTCCTTGATGCAGGCATCATCTATCCGATTTCTGACAGCAAGTGGGTTAGTCCAATCCATGTTGTTCCGAAGAAAGGAGGTATTACAATAGTAAAGAATTAGAACAATGAGCTAATACCAACAAGACCAGTCACTGGATGGAGAGTATGCATAGACTACAGAAAACTGAACAGTGCAACTAGAAAAGATCACTTTCCTTTGGCCTTTATCGATCAGATATTGGAAAGACTGGCTTGACATTCACACTACTATTTCTTGAATGGGTATTCGGGTTACAATTAGATTGCAGTAGCTCCAAAAGATTAGGAGAAGACTACATTTACATGCCCTTATGGTACTTTTGCATACAGAAAGATGTCATGCGAGTTGTGTAATCCCCCTGCCACATTTCAGTGATACATGATGGCAATCTTTTTAGATATGGTGGAGAAAATTATTGAAGTCTTCATGGATGAATTTTCAGTGTTTGGTTCATCCTTTGAAAATTATCTCTCAAATTTGGGAATGGTTTTACAGCATTGTAAGGAAACAAATTTGGTGCTAAACTGGGAGAAGTGTCACTTCATGGTGCAGGAAGAAATAGTACTTGGGCACAAAATTTCAACAGATGGTATCGAAGTGGATAAAGCAAAGATTCAGGTGATAGAGAAGCTTCCTCCACCAACTTCAGTTAAGGGAATACGTAGCTTCCTCGGCCATGCAGGGTTCTACAGGAGGTTTATTAAGGATTTCTCTAAAATCACAATACCGCTCTGTAACTTGCTTGAAAAGGACAAGCCATTCAACTTTTCTGAAGAGTGTTTGACAGCTTTCAACACTCTGAAAGAAAAGTTAATTTCTGCACCAATTATAACTATACCAGATTGGGACCTGCTATTCGAACTGATGTGCGATGCTAGTGATTATGCAGTGGGGGCAGCATTGGATCAAAGAGAGAATAAAATTCTCCATATTATCTACTACGCAAGCAAGAAGTTGACAAAGGCACAGCTGAATTATGCGACCACAAAAAAGGAGCTATTGGCCATAGTGTTTGCCTTTGATAAATTCAGATCATATCTCATGGGATAGAAGGTTATTGTCTACACAGATCATGCAGTCCTGAAATATCTAATGTCTAAGAAGGATGCAAAGCCTAAGTTGACTCGGTGGATACTCCTCCTTCAAGAGTTTGATTTGAAGATCCGAGACAAAAAGGATCTGAAAATGTGGTAGCAGACCATCTTTCAAGACTTGAACAAGCATAACAGAAAGACAAGAGCAATATAAAGGATTCTTTCCCAAATGAACGTATCTTTGCAGTTGAGAGTGGGCCATGGTATGCGGACATAGTAAATTACTTGGCGTGTAATGTGCTTTTACCCGAGTTTACACACTACCAAAGGAAGAAGTTCTTTTCAGAGCTGAAATATTATCATTGGGAGGATCCCAACTTATACAGGAGGGATGCTGATCAAATAATCCGACGATGTGTACCAAATGAAAAGGTCTCTAACATTCTGGAGCATTACCACTCTTCTGCTTATGCTAGGCATTTTGGGTAGTCTAAGATAGCAGCGAAGGTTTTACAATCAGGGTTTTATTAGCCGTCGCTTTTTAAGGATGCACATGAATATGTGAAACACTGTGATCAATGCCAATGTACATGGACGATCTTCAAAAAGAATGAGATGCCTTTGAATTCGATTCTGGAAGTGGAGCTCTTTGATGTTTGGGGGATCGATTTTATGGGACCATTTCCTTCTTCTTATAAAAATCAGTACATGTTCGTGGTAGTTGACTATGTATTGAAATGGGTAGAAGTAGTAGCAGCACCAACTAATGATGCTCGAGTGGTTGTGAATTTTTTGAAGAAGAACATATTCTCGCGCTTTGGCACCGCTCGAACTATCATCAACAATGGTGGAAAACATTTTTGCAATAGGCTTTTGGAATCAGTATTAACAAAATATGGGATGAAACATCGAGTTGCTACACCTTATCACCCCCAAACAAGTGGCCAGGGAGAAGTGTCAAATAGGGAGCTAAAGAGAATTCTCGAGAAGACGGTGAATAGCTTAAGAACTGATTGGTCACGAAAAGTTGATGATGCATTATGAGCATATAGGACTGCCTACAAAACACCAATAGGCATGTCACCATATCGCCTTGTATTTGGAAAAGACTGTCACCTTGCAGCGGAATTGGAGTATCGAGCATACTGGGCAGTAAAATAATTAAACATGGACCTAACAGCAGCTAGTAATAAGAGGATGCTATAGTTAAATGAGTTGGATGAATTTCGGATGGATGCCTATGAGAATGCAAAATTGTATAAGGAGATGACAAAGAAATTGCATGATAAGTACATCCAGAGGCGTGAGTTCACTCTAGGTCAACAAGTATTGTTGTTCAATTCTAAGTTGAAACTTTTACTGGAAAATTGTGCTCTAGATGGTCTGGTCCATTCACAGTTGTTCAAGTCTTTCCACATGGGGCAGTTGAAGTGACTCAAGAGACAAAAGGAACCTTCAAAGTAAATGGGCAGCGGTTGAAAGTATATTGGGGTGGTGACTTTGATAAAGAGAAGTCACTCACCCAACTTCACGACCCAAAATGATCAATCTGACAGTCTAGTTAAAGACTATAAATTAAGCGCTTATTGGGAGGCAACCCAATCTTCTAACCCTTTTATTTATTTTGTTTTATGCATCTCATAGCATATAGATTTGTTTTGATTACTGGGTTGCATTAGATTTAGATACGTTTTAATTTGTAGGGTATCACCATCCTTAATACTCCCCTTAAACCATTTAATGTATTGTTGGTATTTTGATTGTTTGGGCTAAGTAACACATGTTTTAGGTTATTTTAATTTTAATATTTGATTTGAATTGCTATATGTAGAAACATGATGTCGCGGAACACTCCAACCAACATAAACCAAGGGACAAGTATAATGGAAAATTTGCCTAGTCGTCACACATAGGGCCTCACACATTCAACAAAAAAAAAAAAAAATTGGGGAGTACCTTCTTCCTTTTCTTCCCTACCCTTTTATGTGCTTAGCTATACTTTATGACATTGAGGACAATGTCGATTTTAAGTTTGGGGGTGAAAAAAAAATTCGTATATTTTTTATGATTTTGTGTGTTTGTTTTAGCTAAATAAAAAATTTAAAATTAAAAAACAGAAAAAAAGAAAAAAAATATATATTTTATGAACTGTGGATATGTTGGGATTTAGTGTTAATTTATGAATTGTGATATGTTGCATGTTAGACTGATTGAAATTTCACATTGCAAAACTTGATATTATATGGGTACAAAAATTGAGTTTGACATTGTGATGAAATGAGTTGTTTCATGCTCTTAATATGTTGATTTAGTTGGACATAGATGCTTTACCCAAACTATACTAAACTAATTATCCTTAGACCAAATTTAGCAAAGTTTGGAGTGATTTTACTATTGTAGGAAGATACGGATGTGGCTAGGGATTCCTTGTGTGAAAAAAAAATGTGTGGATTGTCTGAGATAAACATGATAAAAATGGGTGAAAGTCTTGAGTTGGAGGTCAGTTTTCTTGAATAAGTGTATGATAAGGGGCATTGCACTAATCAAGACATATATTTTAAAATTTAAAACATCTCTTTGAAACCTGTGACTCGAGCAATTAAGTCTGCAAGGGTATCTTAAAATTTGGTGCCCTAAAGTCGTCTGACTTGAGAGTCATCGACCTAAAACTTGCTACAGGGGTCATTTAGAAAGCAATCAAAGATGAAGTTGCCCTTAAACAAAAAATTTAAAAATTATTCTCTTCGAAACCTTTTTTATTCGAGTTATTAAGCCTGTAAGGGTATCTTAAAATCTGGTGCCCTAAAGTCATCTGACTTGGAAGTCATCGACCTAAAGCCTGTTACATGGGTCATTTAGAAAATTTAAGGGAGAGAATGTAAAAAATAAAATAAAATACATAATAAAAAATACTTTCAAAAATCAGAAAAAGCAAGTGCATGAAAAAAAGCAAAAGCACTAAATGCCTTGGTTAAGCATCAACACTTGTTCGAGGGAATTTGATTTTCGATGAAAGATAATTAGCTTAGTTCAGTCTTGGCAGTCAAAGCAATCAAATAATTGGAGAATCCTTGTTCATCGAAGTGTTGACCTGCAATCAGTAACGTCTTCCTAAATTTGAGAGTGTGAGGATAGTAATGAAAAATTTAACCTTAGATTACATACTGAGAAAAGAGTGAAAAAGAATAAGTTTGGGGGTGTGAATCTTACGAGAGATGAAATGATATATTTGACCATAGAGGGTCGGGAATTAGAACAACATATGAAGTCATTAATGTTTACTTAATTCTTCACACACACACGTTGATTTTGCATTGAAAAAGTGGATATTGGTTTGGTGTTGTGACTTTGAATCGGTTTGTGAATTTAATATTGTGATCTCAAATTCTGAATTTAAAGGCTAGATTGTCCAACCAATTATACTTGCATGCTTGTGTGTTGTTATTATTTAGGTTATAATTTTGTTTGAGGACAAACAAATGTTTAAGTTTGTGGGTGTTTGATAAGTGTATTTTATACACTTATTCGGCGCATTAAAATAGCAATATTTGGTAGTTTTTCGACAAATTATATCCTAATTTTTTTTTTATTTTATGTTAAATAGGTAATTCTATAAATGAAAAGGGAATCGAAGGAAGGAAGCAAAAAAAAAAAAAAAAAATCAGCAAAGAAATGACAAATTCCAAAACACGAGGACTAAATTGGCTATTGGATACAAAGTTTGGAGATCAAATTTCATAGTTTGGAAACTGAAGGACTTGAAGAAAATAAAGGATTCAATGGGCCTAATTTGTGGACTTTTGTTTTGATCCAAATTTAAAAAAAAAGGGGGGGGGGTTTCCAGCATGAATATATATACATAGAAGACGGCAGCTTTCTGCGGAGATACGTTCG